TCTAAAATGTTATAGGCCTACGCAATAATGTATTGTTAATAAAACTATTTATGGCAAGTTCAACTGTTTTTATTGCATCATAAATAGGTACCCAACAATTCCTGAATATTTATAAATTAAAATAATTTTGTTTATGTTATTTAATTGGTTATAAATTTATAAAATGATAACAATTGAAATAGTTACAGCCTTTTTTAATATACTATCTTTTGGCAAGTTTTTTTAAAATTTAACTGATGTTACTCGATTTAAGACACGAAACTAAATGCTTATTTAGAAACTTTAAATGTAATATTTAAAAAAAAGTGCTGTATCATTAAATAAAAGGTACTAGCAAAGCTTAAAGTTACTGTATAGACTATGCTAATTTATCATGTAATAATAACAATAACATATTTAGGGGTGGATATAAATGAATTTCAATCGATTTCATAAATACCCAAAATACCCGGGTATTTATGGATTTTGGGTATTTACCCGGGTAAATACCCAGGGTATTTACCCCGAGTTTTAAATACCCGGGTATTTTACATCACTACTGGGAGGGTTAAAAACCCCATGTGCCTGTAAAGTGTGGTAACAATTAATTTACCTTAGGTCTTTCATATAAACTTGTATAAGTAGTCCTACTTAGGCCTAATTAAAATATATAGGTACTATGTATACTAACCCATCTTCTTCAACATTTGTATTCCTCCGTTCAACAAAAATGCTCTGAATGAATTGTTCAATCCCAGAAATCTTTTCTAAAACTTCTTGACAACAGTGACACTGTTTCTTTTCACTTGACAGATGATCGGAAAACCCTTGTTTCATAGTTTTGACAAAGCCATCCATTTTGGACTCCAACTGCTTAACTTTCTCATTAAAGGAGTTGTGTATGACAATAATTTGTTGGATAATGTGATTGAATATCTCATCTTGATGTGATGTTTCCACTTTCACTTTTACTGCAAGAGGGTTTGCTGCCATTGTAGCCTCTCTGGAAAGAAATGATGAGGAGATATTAAACAAAATCTCTAAAAGCCCAAAGGCATGACCAAATAATTAGGTAGCCTAAAAAGTCTTTCTTAGGCTACCTAATTATTTTGGTCATGCCTATACTACTATACTATAATACTACATACTATAATACACACTTACTGTTACTATAATAGCACATCAGTCTTGATGTGCTATTATAGTCCCTCCCTTTTCATCAATTTAGATGAAGCCTACAATATATGTATTTTAAATTTTACGTATCCAGGTGTATTGGCATTGTACAAATCTAATCTATAAAATGTGTCACAAGTTATCTTAAATCGTGCTAACTGACGAAATGTTTGATAGGGCCTATTGAGAAAAATTTGCCTTTTGATGGTTTAAAACTGGACCCAGCTTCCTAGTCATTGGGCTTAAAATAACTGGCTAATAAAATAGTTTATCTCAGTCCATGTCAAAGCTGTGATAAACGGTCGTAGCAACGATGAGAGCAGCGATGCTATAGAGAGTAGCGCTCTGCTTTTATCAGCTGCTCATGTCTGAGCCACGACACTCACTGAAAAGTGATTCATGAGTTTGTATTTTGTTGATAGTGAGTTTGTAATGAATGACTCTGAAGAAGAATAATCAATTTTATCATCAAATACAGTAAAGTATATTCAAAACCAAGTAAAATATAAGGAGTAAGCTATTATGCATAAGCACCCTATCAATATTGTGTTCAATTCTTTTTAGCATTTGTTCAAGCATTTTACTCCACAACTTGACTTAAACAAATATTGTGGTGATTTTTATCTCACTTGTGTGATAATGCTTTTCTCATAAAAACTTGCAATATTAAATTATGTATCTAAATTTATGTTGGGAACTTCAATACTAGCTGAAAAAAAGGACTGAGATATTATAGCTGCTCTCGTCGATGGTCGGAACCTGAGAGCGATTAACAGGGCAGCTCCGACACAAACAGGCTTATTAAGAAAGCACATCGGTATTATCTACATTGCTAGGATCATAGGTACTTAGTATCGCTACAGATCATCTCACACCATTCTACACACATATTTGGGTAAAAATACGCACCTAGGTGGCGTCCTTATCTCGATTATTGATTAATGACGGAGACTGAAATTTAAGTTGCATCATTTTATATGAATAGGCTTAGATAGGCCCATGTTGGTTTTTATTAGCTCTATGCCAAAAAATTACCATGGGTATGGTTATTCTTACTAAAATATCTTACTGAAACTTAATCGAAAAAAACTACAGCAAAGGCCAAAAACTTTGATATCCGACTACATCGCAATTACCGATTGTTATAATAATTATTATCATTATTGGGGTAGGCCTTAGGCGTTGGCTAAAGGTTCTAACCTATAAGTTAAAGCCCAGCACACAATTAAATAGACATCTTGGAAATACTTAGTTATAGATAAATATAGTCTATGATACAATTTATACTTATTTGGATTGTACAGAGGTGTTTATTTACCAATTCTAAATTCAAATTACAGGAATATCCCTCTGCTAGCTGTCAAACGTTGTAACGCATGAACACACGGTTTCTCGCGAGGAACGTAACGTGGTTGTCTTGTCTTGTCAGTTCCAGTCAACGAGCAGAGCACATTCCAGTGTTAACCAAATTTACGTAGCACTGTAGCAGGTAGCAGGTAGCAGTAGTAGAGCAGTATGTAGAAACAATGCAGCAGCTTAATGAATGACAATGAAATTAAGAAAATGAAAATTTAGTTAGCTTAAGAAATAAGATACTACCATATACTTTTACTACTAACCAACAAGCTGTTTGATAATGCCTTTTTTGGCAGTAGTTTTCGACTTTCGTGAATTTTATGAGCTCTCCTCTGAGCACAATCGGGGCAATCGGCTCAATAGCAGGTTAGCCAACACAACATCAACAGCAGTAAACAGGATAGCTATATCATATCAATGACATTTATTTATTTCAAGGAGTTTATGTCTAGACTTTTTTTAAATTACTGACAGCTTTTTACAACGTTTTTCAAGTAAAAGGAAACACATAATCATCCCAGGTGATGTAAACTTCAAACTTCAAAACAAAAATGATAGTGAAGTAGTACAACTTTAAAATCTTCTAAAATCACACAAAATAAATGTGATAAAAACCGCCTATACGGTTCCAGGTAAATTTAAGAATTGAGAATTGATTTAGATTTTCAAGGAAAGTTTGCAGGTTTTCTAGTCCATGTTCCCAAACCATGAAAATGTCATCAATAATCCTATACCAAATTGAAGGTTTCAACATTTGTGAATTTAGAAAAAGTTCTTCAACATGCCCAACAAATAAATTTGCAAAAGAAGCTACCATACGTGTGCCCATAGCTGTCCCTTTCACTTGAAGGTAATTTTGATCAAGGAATTTAAAATTGTTCATGGTTAAAACAAAATGAATTAAGTTTATAATAAAGTTGGCACTAGGTTTGGAGTTAACTGGACGTTTTTTGGTAAACACTTCTATTTGTTATTGTTTATTGTTTGTTCCTGAAGAAGGCTAATGCCGAAATATAGAACTTTTTTAAAAAGTGTGTGTTAAGTTTACAATGCATGTTATTTTGGTTAAATAAATGACTTATTGACTTATTTAGACATCCACTGAACGCCTGATGGTGACTTCTTCATGTAGTTGAAAACTAGTTGCGTGACCTAGCAACTATTGGATTACATGGAAGCAGGTATTTAAACCAATTTATATATTCAGTAATGCGGAGGCTAACATAAAATACCCCCGCCGCAGCAAACCTGCAGACTAAGCGAATTTCCATTTGCCTGATTGGATTTACACTGAAATGTCTACTTAAAAATATAACATTTATTCCCTATTCAAATAGAATTAGTTTAACAAGTACTTAGGTTTGCTGCATCAGGGAGGGTAAAACTGTTGTTTTTTTTTTTTGTAAAATGTTAATAGTTAGTAAGAAATAAAAACATTTTCCAAATTTGATCAAAATATTTTCATAAACAAGCAAACTACAACAGTTTACTTATTCTCCATAAGAATAACATGGGAATTTTAAATTTACAATTTTTTGGAATTTTCTCCGTAACCATTAGGCGCATAATAACGCTTCAATATACTAAATTATTTGTTTTTTTTAAGCTCTAAAAAATGGTTTGGAAAGAAATTGCTAAATTTTATGTTTTTTGGGTCAAAAATGGGAAAAACCTATTTTTACCCCATAAAACCCCCCGTAAACCCCCGTTCCAATGGTCCGATCATGCTGGATCGCGAACTCGTTCAAATAAACGTAGGTTTACACGTTTGTACCAAATTTCATCAAAATCGGATCATTTTTGCTCGAGTTATCGTGCTAACGGACACACACACACACACATATATATATATATATATATATATATATATATAAATATGTATATAAATATATATATATATATATATATATGAATTTGAACGGATGGTGTTTTTGGCCTCTAGGGACCTCAAAACGAAAAAAAAATCGGTCCCGCGTCCAGGTCTTACCATGAGTACTACGGTAATAGCTTATTCCCTATATGGGAAATTCGCTAAAATGACACATTTTTTGTAAAAGTAAAATCATAATTAATTTTAAAAATTACATCATTGAGCAGAAAATACTTTATTTACAAAATACTGTCATGATACTGTTAACGATAATAACAACCCTGGTCAGTACTGGATGGTACTGGTCACTATTTTTATTAAGAAAGAACATAGAACAAAGAGAACGAAAGATGATTTGGAGCAAAACTACCATCCGAATATCCGAAATGGTCTGAATGTCCGAATGAGAATAAAATCATTGACTATACTATACACTGACCTATACAGAGAAGTGTATAGCACGCTCAATCAATGCTCAGTGCTCGGTGCTTGCTGCTTGGCTTGCTTAGTTGCTTTGCTTTGTTACTTTGTTGCTTTTGTTTGCTTAATTACTTTGCCTTTGCCGGCTGCCATTTTGAAATCGTGTTGCAGTGTTTCAGTCGAAGACGCATCGGTAGAATTATATTTTGTTTGTTAAACCTAAAGTTGTAACTATTAATTCAAGTATTCCATCAAATTATTATGACCTCTACTCAAATTAAACCTTCTAATCTATCCGGGCCTGCTGGTGGTCACGGTTGGCCTCGCCGTGGTGGTGGAGGACCTGCAGCTCAGACTCCGACTCAGTTCAACGATGCAAAGTTTCCCTTACCGGTCTTAACAATAAACAGACCCATCAATTTGTAAGTATGCTTACACAATTAGCCGTCAGCTTATATGCCATGTTATTTATTGTCAAATTAGGTCCTGACCTTTATTTAAAGTTTCTGATAGCCTATTAGGCTAGGCTTTTTTTTTAGTTTGAGGCCTAGCCTAGTCTATGTTTGTCACAGCCTAGTCCTAGCTTAAGTAGTTTGTTCAGTTGTGTCCCTTGATCTAAATAACTTCTTGATCAGCATTGTACGTGTTACTAAATTTATGTAAAGTAAATAAAAGAAACGTCTTATACTTAACACCTAGGCTACCGTAAAACTGCTGCACTTTACTTTAGGTCCTACACTCATTCGAATGAAAATATCGATCGATATATTGGGGTACAGTTTCTTAACTGGGCTACACTAATATTGATTGAAACTATTGATTTGATTAGTAAAATTTCATGCGATTTTTTCACCATCAGCAAGTTTGGTTGGTTAGGTCAGGTTATGTTAGGCTTATTTTGATTTTATAATAGCCTAGATATATTTTAAAATATCGATTATTAATCAATATTTTCAACTCGATAGTTTCAATCAGTATTACCGTAGCCCAGTTAAGAAACTGTATACCCATATATTGATTATAATCGATTGTTTAATTCGGATGGTTTCAGGTTGTATTATGACAAAAAAATGTATTTTTACGTCCTTTTTTTATTTACACTCAATTTTCCTTCTATTTCCTAATTCCGTGATTTATCAGCCTAATTCCGTGATACAGCAATTTTGGAGCTAGGAATAGGAAAATATAACCTCAAACACTAAATCGTACCTACCGGTACCAGCAGATGTCGATGACAGATGAAATTAAAACGTTTGTAAAGAGTAAGAAGAAAGGTCATACATCACGACCAGAGGCTAAACTCCAATAAACATATTTTGTTGTTGCTCCAATTTTATTTAAAACTAGCTGTAACCCACGGGCTTTGCCCCGTTTAACTTCATAATTTTCAAGATTATCTCGTTCGCATGGCTCAATCACGTCCTGGTTGAAGTTTGTTCGCTACGCTCACTCACCTTTAGGTTGGAGCTCGTTCGCTACGCTCACTTACCTTTTGGTTGCAAATTAGCTGTTGTCATAAATGTAAAAGAAATAATAGTGCTGCACCCTGTTGGTAATCCTTGTAACTTTAATGCTATTGAACATCATAGAACAGAACCAACTTGTTAAATTGAAACAGCTGTTAAGATTCAATAATTCCATTTCTCATAAGGTTAACATGGGAAACTCCAGAGCCACTGGGGCGGAGCCCGAAAGGATTTTTGAAATAAGAATATGCCTATATGTTAATCGGGAATGTGAGCTATCATCATGCCAAATTTCAGCCCAATCCGACCAGTATTTTTCGAGTTTACTTTTCCCATACACACATACAGCAACCACCTCTTTTTTATAATAGTATAGATAGATAGATAGGTAGGTATTTACTTAGGCTAAATTAATTTATCGAGATTGGAAAAGAAGGAATGTTAAGCTAACTAAATAATATAGGTGAACAAAACACAAGAAGCATTAGGCCTATGGATGAATAATTTTAAAATATTTAACAAAAAATACATTAACTTAACTAGCCTACAACTCCACTATAGAAAGTATTGAACATGAAATGCATCCCACCAGTGACTCACGTAGGAGGGAATTGGGGTATGAGCTCTGGTATGTTAGCCTAAGCAGAATTTTTTATTTCAATATCCTGAGTAGGCCTATTGGTTGGTATGCCAGCAATGGCATGTGACTCATGTGGGGGGAGGGAATCTGGTAATGAGCTCTGGTATGTTGGACATATTTTATTTTCAACTAGTGTACATGTTGCTCGAATTCGAGCAATTGCAAAATATTACAGGAGTTATTTCAAAATGAATAACAGTCATATTTACATTGAGTTTTTAACACAAAGATTACCGGTGTGTAACTCAGACCATGTTTATCTTCGTTATTGATAAACCTAAAAAGCATTCCGGCCGGTTTTCTCCTTCTCAAAATGCCTTGCTGTACAGGCAACGCAGGTCATTGATAGAGGGCCAATTGAGAACGAAAAGTCGTTTTGGGGGAATGTTAGGGCGCATTTGTAACATAATAGTTGAGATTGTCCAGGGTCGGGTGCTGACTGTGATGAGTTAAGCCTATTACGCGCCACTGTTCTGTAGCTGCGTTCGTTATCACAATTACACCTCCTGTCTACGTTTCGTTGTCGTCGCATCGGAGGCATTTAAAAGAAAAAAACAACAAATAAATAAATTATAGCTACACAAAACAACGATGAATGCACAAATTTAAGTTACAACATATTATTTACCTAGGATTATTATTATTTAAGACCTAGGATTATTTACATATTTATTGAACAACCCAAACTAAAAACGGACTTAAGCAGTGAATTCAGCACACTCAAAATCACACTCTACTTATCAGGCCTACCATATTATTTAATAGTCTTATTTTATAAAATACTAGCAGTTACCCGGCGTGCTTTTCTGCGCTAATAAATTACATCTGTCTGTGTGAAAAGCATGTTTTTTCTACATTTAAACCGACAATAGTCAGGTATTGCCCTAGTGCCTTATAATGGCGATTGCGAAAGCAAGACACTAAGGAAATTGTTGTTTTGCTTAAATTCAGAGGGTAATTCGGATGAAATCATCAGTATTCTTGGGATTAAGACTATTTCTCCTTTAAACCTACCACTGATAATTAGCTTTAATCAATTTCGATGACATTTTTTTAATCGTTAGTCTGGTAACGTTACACAGCTTCGGTGGATTTAAGTTTCACATTATTATTGGAGTTCCTTCTTTTAATAACAGTAATGTGGTGAATTAATGACAAATTGAGAGGCATTTGAATACCCGAGATAGCACGCACGATTATTATTCACTTAATAATTTATGTTAGATTGTGTGGGTAGGCTATTGAACGAAAGATAAAAATACTAAGGCATTGTTGTCCCTTTTATTGTTTATAATACTATGATAAAGGTTTTTATGTTTTTAATATTTAACACTGGAGAATTTAAACGTTGTTGAGTGCACAGGTGTGCTGCGATTGGGGTTTAATACATTTGGACTTATTCAAAAGTAAAATAGTTTTCTGTGCTGCACTCTGTAGGCTAGAAACACTGTGGCACTATTTCAAATCATGACTAATGGTAATACAGCATGTGATTATTCAAACCTACAAAACAGTTGGTGAAAGTAAACATCTCCTTTTAAATTATATTTATTTGAAACATTGTAGGCTAGATAAAAAAGTCTGACATTGGCCCACTTAAAACCCTCTGGGGCAGAGCCCTTTTGACGGATCTGCACCAAACTTCACTCGAACAATCCTTGAAAGATGATTAATAATGCCTGAAAGTTTCATTACAATATGTCAAGCGGTTTCGGAGTCCATAACTTATATACACAAATGCATAGTTCTTCTTTAATAGATATAGATTATTATTTTTTGTTAACTAAAAAATATAATGTGCATTCTAAACACCGTGATCCTGTCACGGTATTTAGAAAATAGCAATCTTACATTGCTAATCTCCGTGATGCATTTTTCTAAAATATAATTTCTATGGCCAGCTTAAAATAGGTTTATAACAAAACAGCAACTCATATTAGTTCAAAATATACGTCTATTAATATAATTATATATAATATTAATATAATATAATATAATATTTAATACAAGGTGACAAGGGTATACAAGGGTTTTATCCGTCCTACACACGGGAGTAGTCAGTTAAAACTGCGTAGGCCTATAATTCGGAACAGCTAGTTTATACGTATAAAGACAAATTTTATTGCAGCCTACAGTAGAAAAGTAATTATCAATTGAGAAGTGTATAGGCCTAGTCAATGATATCACCTTCCATCGCATACCTGCCTCTTCCATAATCAATATCACCACAATACAATTACTCATACTATACACAATTTCCAGTATGTCTGAATTGAAACTCCCTAAAATAAAACAAAAACATCCAATAAAATTCACAGTTAACTTACACATAATTATAAAGTTGGTGTCCTGACATCATTAAACGAATCGTCCACACACATCCTTCATGTCAATTCCACTGCATCAATTGATAAATAAATAAGTGTAAACAAAGAAAAGTAAACACAACAACATATCAGTTTGTTTTGTAAACAGCTGAGTCAAAAATAAAATAATATTCATTTGAACAAAAGAACTGGTCACATGTTGAAGGAATTTAAAAAGTAAAAACGCTAGTAAAGCTAGTGACGTAGCCTAATTAATTGTCTATGTTTATTATCCATTCCATTATCAGTTATAATATCCTTGATAATTAAACCACCCTCATTGAATCAATGTACATCGTAATTCCCCATATTCATTTATTTAAACTATAAAATATTCAGCGCCGCCAAACGTAACCACAACTAAACACACTCCAAACAACTTTTTAGATTTCATAAAACTATGGTTAGTCTAATTGCAGTATCCTAGGTCAATGATGACGTTGTGTTCAATCTATGTCATTCATCTGTATATCTTTGGATAGGTAAAACCCGTCTGAGGTTGTGGTGGTAGTTTAAAATCGTATTCCTGAGGATTCTTGATCTCCATCTTTATGACATCAATATTTCCGGGCCTAATCCAAACAAAGTTCAAGCATTCAAAAACATTGATTGTAAACAAAAAGCTGCCAAGATGAATTAAAACATGTAAAAATTGTGATTTTCATACCCTTTCCAAAAAAGTTGAGCAATAAAATAATTTGCATACGGTATCTTTTTTTTAAACTCGTGTACAGAGCCTCGACTTGTACACATCGATGGTGTTTCTTATCTTGGTGGTCTACTAATCTTACTTATTTCCTATAATCAATGACAAAATCAGAGTAAATAACCTCATATTTCTATAGGGCATTTTTATAATTAACCAGCGGTTAGTAAAAACAAATTATATTGCACTAAAACAAACCGAAGATAACAAAGATTACTTAAAAAAATAATTTGAACATCCTAGTATTTTACTAGGCCTATGTATATTTAAATAATCCGTCATCCTCTTATCGAAGGATTGAACGTATCAATGATTAGCATTACACATAGTATAAATAAGTCAACCCTTAGTATGTCTTTTAATTTTATCCAAATGCTGAATTTGTGTTACAAACGCTGAATGTTTACAGCTGTTATGTTAAGCAAATTATATTATACCAAAAGCTAGCTTAGAATCTTAGGCTGTTAGACTTTTCAAAAATTAAAAGTTAATTTCTTAACCCTCCCAGTGTTACTTGACGAAAATTCGACAAGCAGCACACTTTGTGTAGTGTTACTTGTCGATTTTTCGACAAGCAGACATCGTTTACGGCGAAGGCTCTATAACTGACTGAATCGGATTGAACTGGATCGAGTTAGGTATCGTTCTTTCCGTTTCATTCTAAGCTTTCTCCAGAGGTCTGTCTCAGCGCTGTACGTTATCTGAGCCGATCGTAATATGTAGCAGACAGCTGACGTGCGTGTATTTGTAAACAGCTAGGTTACCCTCCGACCGATGACTGATGTGTTTTATTACGTTTATCATTGTTTTAGTGTTAAAAATCAAAAGTAGTGATATACGTGTTGCATTATAAGAAGATTTAAGTGGTTTTGAAGTGCTGGTTGATGATCCTGAAGAAGTAGGTAGTGATATTGATGTACAAATTGTCAGCCAGATTCCTAGCTATGGTTAGGCTATGCATTCTTAGCTAAACGCTATGTACTGAAATCTGTTTTTTGCCCATAACTTATTTATTTGCAAATCTACTTCCTTATATTATTATATATTTGTAATCCTCATAAAATTTAGAACAAAGTGGCTATTTTCAAATATTTATAGGCCTATAATTTATACAATTTCATTGAGCGCGAACTTATTTTTTTTTTTGAAAATTTTCGAAATTATATTTTTTTTTACCTAAAATTTTTTTTTTTTGAAAAAATGTTCCTTATGTTTTATATATAATATTGAAGCCCATGATTTTCCAAACAAAATGGTATATAGAACATTAGAATTAACATTGTTTTAAGCTTCTCAGATCCGTTTTAATAAAACCTGGCAAATGCGCCAAAAATAGGTGGACATTAAGGCCTAAACTATGGACACTTGGAGGGTTAATAACTGGGAACCTAAACTAAAATTATGGCTTCGACATTCCCTAGTTTTAAAAATTATTGTAAGACTAGATTACTTACGTCAATAGCTCATTGAATCGTGAATTTCACTTCATGTTTCAGTACATGTTTCGACACATTATCAGCTGAGTAATAACTAGTGAAGTTTTTATTCACCATATGGCTTCCTCATTGTTCAATTAAATAAACACGAATACGACACGACATGGAACATATACATCTACAACACGTAAAGTTTTAAGACATGCAGGCATGTTCGAACAAAACACACGGTCACGCCGCGGGTCGGGGACAGGTGGGACAGACTGACTATTTGTTTATCAACACGAAGAATAAAACAAAATACCCCCGCAGCAGCAAACCTGCCGTCTAAGCGAATTTCCATTTGGCCGAATTGATTTTCAATTGATCTATTTAAATAACATTAGGTTTAACGAGTACCTAGGTTTGCTGCTACAAGGAAACTAATAAAGTAGTGTGTTTTTAGTAAAATATTGATAGCTTACTATAAAATAAATAAATTTGCCAAGTTTGATCAAAATATATCCATAAACAAGCAAACTACAACATTTTACAATATTCTCCATAAGAATAACATGGGAATTTTAAATTTACCATTTTTTTAGTTTTCTCCGTAACCAATAACCGTACAAAAACACTTTGATATACTGAATTGTTTGTTTTTTTAAGCTCTTTAAGAAGGTTTAGAGAAAAATTGGGAAATTTTGTGTTTTGAGGGTAAAAAGTGAGAAAAACCAATTTTTACCCCATAAAACCCCCCATAAAACCCTGTTCCCATGGTCCGATCATGCTGGATCGCGAACTCATTCAAGTTTATCCCGCCTTACACCTTTAAACCAAATTTCATCAAAATCGGATAAAAATTACTCAAGTTATCGTGTTCACGGACACATATATATATATATAAATCTATATATATATCTATATATATATATATACATATATAAAAATTTGAACGAATGGTGTTTTTGGCCTCTGAGGACATTAAAATGAAAAAGTAAATCGGTCCCGGGCCTAAGTCTTACCATGAGACCTACGGCAATAGCTACTTCCCTATAGGGAAATTCGCTAAAACTTGCTGAATTACAAAACGCCAAATGCAAAAATGAATACGTGTTACGTGTTTATTTAATTGAACAATGACGAAGCCATATGGTGAATAAAAACTTCACTAGTTAGTACTCAGCTGATGATGACAATGTGTCGAAACATGTACTGAAACATGAAGTGAATCAATGAGCTATTGACGTAAGTAATCTAGTCTTACAATAATATCTACAGCTCAGGGGCTTAACAATGAATTTAAATTTAAAAATTATCTTTCTTGCAACATAAAAATCACGAAAATCCGTCGAGTGGTTGATTCAGAATCGTGAAATAAAAAAACCCTGTTACGTTTTAATATTATAGATAATTAATGTAATATAAAAATATACTAAACCAAAGCTTATTCCACTCACCTCCATTTCCTTGTTTGAATCACTAAGAACCTTAAGGAAAACAACTGTTTCAAGAAACGTCAACATTCAAACTGATAAATGAACCAGACGACATGGCACCAGCAGCCATCAAAGAAATTTAAAATAAACTCCAAAAGTTGAATTTACTTCTTATATAAAGATTAAACGTCTTTGACCAACAATATATTTGTTATTGGCGAGAAAATACGGGAATCACGGTATTTGGGTGAGTCGTGGTATTTGGCAATTTACCTTAAGGTCAGGTTATGAATTAATCTGTAAAATATTTTTATAGGTACCTATGTAGTAAGCCTCATTTGTTCTTATTAAAATGATTGCTAATATTTCCTGAATTAATTTTCAGCGTTTGAAGTCAATAATAATAAAATATTAGGTCATTTACCAGAAATTGTGTTTTTTTTTTCAATCAATACCAAATATTTTGAAACTGCCTAATACCGGATTTGTATTTCCTAATAGGCTACACTAAACTATTTTTGGGGAGCGAGCTGATCTAGTGGTTGAGCACGGGACTTTGGTCTCTGAGGTCCCGGGTTCAAATCCCGCCAAATCACCATTTAGATTTTATCCAAGTGATATTGCCGCAACCCCTAGGTCTAGCCTAAAGTAAATGTGAAGTACCTGCAATCCCAGACTCGTTCCTAGTGTCCTAGGGAAAAACTATACCGGTACCAATCTTGGTTTTATACAAGGTTTTTTTTAGGTATCCACTAACAAATTACACATTTGGAACCAAGGAACCATTATTTGAGAAAGATCCATCCGTCCCCGCTCGTTTCCAAAGGATGCGAGAAGAGTTTGAGAAGATTGGCATGAGACGAAGTGTAGAAGGTGTTCTTCTGGTCCATGAACATGGTCTACCACATGTCTTGCTTCTGCAGTTGGGGACGACATTCTTTAAACTGTAAGTTAATCCTGCAAACTCCTTGCGATTAGTTTGACAAGCTTTTCTCCATTTTTTTCTCCGTAGTATAGTCATGTGTCAGTAGTCATTACTTGGTGCCAACAGGGTACCTACCGGTATAGGTTTCTTGGCAGAATGGTTCTTTGGCTGGATTACGGTGCGGTGTTAGTTGAGGAGGCATTATTTAATTGTAATTATAGGTGATAGCCTATAGCAGAGCCTCCATCTGTTATATAGACGTTCAGTTTGTTCTCTACTCCTTCACAATAGCGTGGAACTAACATGAGGTTGCCGCAATCGCAGGAAATCATCACGATTTTACTGTAATAGCAAGAATTAAGCCTACTTATTGTCAATGTCAAGAGACGACCACTATGTTACTAATTAACTAGCCTAGGAGTGTAATCGATCCTAACTGTAGACACTGAATTAATTGTTTTCTGTAAAAATTCGGAATTAATTTGATAATGCCAACCCTGTTATCAAATTGACTGTAAATTCATTGTATATACTGCAAAAAGATTCATTAAAATTCAACTTGAAGCTATCATGAGTTGTTAAACTTTTATCTATAACTCAGTTTTCTTTTTTGTGGTATGATTTTATACTTCTGTCTGGTCTTTTTTTTATCACTTTTTGTTAACAGTTTTCAATCAAAGCCTTACCAAAGAATAAATATTTTATCAAAGAAATCAAAATCTTATGAACGTCAATCTCTATGTAAACATAGAGTGAGACAACGAAGCAATAATTTAAATTTTAACAGAAATTTTTTTTCCTAAAGAATAAAAATAGTAAGTATGTTAAAATAAATGTTGACCAATATATTGCCATTAATTTAATGTCTTTTTTTTGTTTTTACAGCCCTGGAGGTGAACTTAACCCTGGAGAAGATGAAGTTGAAGGTTTAAAGAGACTTCTAACAGAGGTAAAGTTTGTAAATTGATGTTTTCACTCTGTGTAATAAGTCCTATCTAAATAGTTGGACAAAAGTGGTAATGTTTGGATAAGCCTATTTAATAAAATAATAGGTGTTACAAACTAAAAAAAATCAAAGCTTTATTTCTTGCTTCATCTATTATGTTTTATTGTGTATCTTTGCTTTTTTTAAGCATCATATTGTTTGATCACCTCATAATCTAAAAGCTGTCTATCAACGAATCTCTGCTGATTTCATTGGCATAATTAAACTCCCTCCCAGCAAAATAACACTCAGCAACATGAACATGTTTTTTGATGTTGTTATTGAGCGGAGCGAGCGAAGCGAGCGAAGCTCTTATACGTCGACTTTTATGCATTTCGTAATACGCAAACTCCTCCTAGACGGCTGAATCAATCGTTTTCAAATTTTGCATGGTGATAAAGACCATATCGGTGAGTGCCAACATCTATATGGCGTTAAAAAAGTCTCTCAGGAATCCGCCCCACTGGGTCTCAAAGTTTCAATGTAATCCTTATGGAAGCAGTATTTGACACATAAACAAAGACATATGATCAGCTGTTAACTTTTGAATACAGTAGATAAATAAATAGCTGATAGCATTATTCCACAGATATTAGAACATAAACGGTGGTATGGATCAAAAATATAATCAAATGACGACACTAGCTTGAGGTCCGTGACGTAGGAAGTGGTGAAGGAAGTAGTAAAGGTGAGCAGTCTGGAGTGTGGGAACTGTTTCTGACGATTAGATTAAGGTATCTGCAATCCTAAAATACTATTGGAAGGGAAGGAAACAGGCCCGCGACGTAGGAAGTGGTGAAGGAAGTAGTAAAAGCGAGCTGTTCGAGGTATGGGATCTGTTTATGACCATTAGATTAAGGTATTTGCAATTATAAAATGCTATGGGAAGGGAGGAAAATAGGTCCGCGACGTAGGAAGTGGTGAAGGAAATAGTCAAGGCGAGCTGTCCGGAGTGTGGAAACGGTTGATGAATATAAGATTAAGGTATCTACAATCCTAAAATGCTATGGGACGGAAGGAATACAGGTCCGCGATGTACAAAGTGGTGAAGGAAGTAGTCAAGGCGAGCTGTCCGGAGTGTGGAAACTGTTTATGACGATTAGATTTAGGTATCTGCATTTCTAAAATTCTATGGGAAGGGAGAAAAACGGGTCGGCGACGTAGGAAGTGGTGAAGGAAGTAGTCAAGGCGAGCTCTCCGGAGAGTGGGAACTGTTTATGACAATTAGATTAAGGTATCTGTATTCCTAAAATTCAATGGGAAGGGAGGAAAACGGGTCCGCGACGTAGGAAGTGGTGAAGGAAGAAGTAAAGGCGAGCTGTTCGGAGTATGGGATCTGTTTATGACCATTAGATTAAGGTATTTGCAATCATAAAATGCTATGGATAGGGAGGAAAACAGGTCCGCGACGTAGGAAGTGGTGAAGGAAATAGTCAAGGCAAGCTGTTCGGGGTATGGGATCTGTTTATGACCATTAGATTAAGGTATTTGCAATTATAAAATGCTATGGGAAGGGAGGAAAATAGGTCCGCGACGTAGGAAGTTGTGAAGGAAATAGTCGAGGCGAGCTGTCCGGAGTGTGGAAACGGTTGATGACTATTAGATTAAGGTATCTACAATCCTAAAATGCTATGGGACGGAAGGAAAACAGGTCCGCGATGTACAAAGTGGTGAAGGAAGTAGTCAAGGCGAGCTGTCCGGAGTGTGGGAACTATTAATGACGATTAGATTAAGGTATCTGCATTCCTAAAATTCTATGGGAAGGGAGGAAAACGGGTCCGCGACGTAGGCAGTGGTGAAGGAAGTAGTCAAGGTGAGCTGTCCGGAGCGTGGAAACTGTTTATGCCGATTAGATTTAGGTATCTACATTCCTAAAATTTTATGGGAAGGGAAGAAAACGGGTCCGCGACGTAGGAAGTGGTGAAGGAAGTAGTCAAGGCGAGCTCTCCGGAGAGTGGGAACTGTTTATGACAATTAGATTAAGGTATCTGCAATCCTAAAATGCTATTGGAAGGGAAGGAAACAGGTCCGCGACGTAGGAAGTGGTGAAGGAAGTAGTAAAGGCAAGCTGTTCGGTGTATGGGATCTGTTTAATGACCATTAGAATAAGATATTTGCAATCCTAAAATGCTATGGGAAGGGAGGAAAACAGGTCCACGACGTAGGAAGTGGTGAAGGAAATAGTCAAGGCGAGCTGTCCGGAGTGTGGAAACTGTTTATGACTATTAGATTAGGGTATCTACAATCCTAAAATGCTATGGGACGGGAGGAAAACAGGTCCGCGATGTACGAAGTAGTGAACGAAGTAGTCAAGGCGAGCTGTCCGGAGTGTGGGATCTGTTTATGACCAATAGATTAAGGTATTTGCATTCCAATAATGCTAAGGGAAGGGAGGTAAACAGGTCCGTGACGTAGGAAGTGATGAAGGAAGCAGTAAAGGCGAGTTTTTCGGAGTGTGGGAACTGTTTATGACGATTAGATTAAGGTATCTTGGTATCTACATTTTTAAAATTCTATGGGAAGAGAGGGAAACAGTTCTGCGACGTAAGAAGAGGTGAAGGAAGTAGTAAGGTGAGCAGTGTGGAGTTTGGAAACTGGAAACCGTTTGTAGCAGTTAGATTAATGTATCTGCAATGGTGAAATGCTATGAGAAGGGATGGAAGAATGTCCACGACATATACAATGGTGAAAGAAGTAGTAAAGGCTAGCAGTGCGGAGTGTGGGCAATGTTTGTGGCAATTAGATTAGCGTATCTAAAATACTAAAATGCTATGGAAAGTTATGAAAACAGGTCCACGATGTAGGAAGTGGCTTAGGAAGTAGTAATGTATGAACATATTGTGAGAAACGTCTGTGGCAGTTAGATTAATGTATCTTCAATCCCAAAATGCTATGAGAAGGGAAGGAAACAGGCCCCACGACGTAGGAAGTTGTGAAGGAAGTAGTAAAGGCTGGCAGTGCAGAGTGAGGGAACCTTTTGGGCAGTTAGATAAATGTATCTAATACTTAAATGCTATGAGAAGGGAAGGAAACAGGTCTATGACGTAGGAAATGGTAAAGGAAGTAGTAAAGCTTGCAGTGCAGAGTGTGGGAACTGTCTTTGGCAATTAAATTAGTGTATCTGCAATCCTAAAATGCTATGGGAAGAGAGGGAAACAGCTCCACGACGTAGGGGAGTGTGAAGGAAGTAGTAAAGGTGGGCAGTGTTGAGTGTGGGAATGGATTAATGTATCTGCAATGCTAAAATGCTATGGGAAGAGACTGTAGACTGTAGGTTAAAATGATTATGAAGCACGAATCGTTACATATTTTGATACTTATTCAATCGTTTACAATAGAAATTTACAACTAAGTTGACAACAGCTGAGTTTTACTCCATAGAGGCTAAAAACAAATTTTATTCCCTAAAGAGTAAAAATGCTACTTTAGACCCGCAACGCATGCACCAATGACGACTGTTTTTACTGCATTATGACAAAAACAATATAATACGACCCCTTGATGACTCCGCTCAATTTTGTGGATGCATCTGCGAACGCCACCTAGTTTACTCGTAATCAAAATATGTCTTCTTTGTTGTAGACTTTGGGAAGGCAAGATGGTGTGAAACAAGATTGGACTGTGGAGGACACGATAGGCAACTGGTGGAGACCAAACTTTGAACCTCCGCAGTACCCTTACGTCCCTCCACATATCACCAAGCCTAAGGAGCACAAACGTCTGTTCCTAGTGCAGCTTGCGGAGAAAGGTAGGTTATGTAGAATGTACAAGAAAGTTCAGGTACTGTATTGTAAGTTAATTAGTCGTCAACCAATAACGTGCCTATACAGTGTCGAGTTAATCAATCGTGACAAGTCAACTTATAAATTCAATCTTCATATTTTTTTATTAGGCTTAACGTATGTTGATATCAGGTATAAAAACTTCCATCATGCATGTCCTCCGTAGTGACACATTGTAATGAAAAGCCAAGTAAAAACTACTTCAGAAAAGTACAGCCTTGATTTTATATGAGTAATCTCTTTCTCGTACAGTACATTACAGAGTGTTTGTGAATAAATTATCTTAAGTATGAAAATACCTAGACGTTAGCAAAAACGGGCGTGTATCTAAATATGAATTTCTTGAAATCTGGTTAGGCTGCATGTTTGCTGTGATAGGTAAGGTTTTTTTAGTTTTGAGTTATTTGCAAACACTTTGTAGGCTATCCAAATTACAATAGTTCGGTTAAAATCAAATAAAAAATATAGAAAATACACGTAACTTTAACTGAAGATAGACTTATTTTTGGCATTTTGAGACAGCAAGAAGAAGAAAACTCATACAGTAAGGAGTTTTAATGTTTGCAGATTAGATAGATAAGTGAGGAACACGATACTGATCTTATGCTTCTTCGTATTGATGGATTTCACTAATTTAAATATTTTCAGGGTTCGGATTAATCTAAACCATATTCACATTGTTCTCTATTTCACAGTTTATCCTGATGACCAACTGACGCAGCAAAGTTCTGAGCATCATTTTCCAAGCTCATCATCAAATTTATTGTATTATAACCAAGCCAAGCATATGTGCATCCCTTGCGGTTGAAAAGCCAAATGTTGCTAAGGGTATGAAACCCCATGCATCTTTAATTATGGTCATTTGGCCTGTTTTTTCTCCTGCATAGGTTTGGATTTAATCATTTCCATACCAATTTGAAGCTTAGCAGGGATTATAAATGTATTTATTTATGAAGTTTACAAGAGTTTATTTTTTAAGATTATTATTTCTCTTGACAAGAACTATAAATCGTTCCCGTGAATGTACATAATATGTTTTCAAAGTAGGCCTACTGTAACCCTCAGGATTGTTTAACATGATTTTAGGATTTTGACTACTATATCCTGTCTAAAATGTTATTCCAACACGATTAATTCCACCTATAGTAACAACTCTGTATAGTACAAGATTGATATTTCAGAAAGCTATAAACTTCATAATCTATGTAAATACTGTGTGAAGATTGAGTACTTTATAATTATAGGGAATTTGTTTTGTAAACTAGGTTTTGAGGTCGATTTATGTTTTTTGTTTTGTTTAAAATGTATTGTTTAATCATATGTAACTATAACACTTTTGTACTGAAGGACTTAGCAAAAGAATGTGTATCGTTGCAAAATGTTAATTAAATACAGAAAAACACATGCTAATATCATAAAATGTTAAAAATTAATTTGTTCTTGTTCTAATCAGATGTATCAGTCAAAGAATTTTTAATTAGGGAAAATGTTATTATGTTAAAAATTAGGCTTTTAAAGTTTATCAAGTTTACATCCATGACAGTAGTTTTAGCCTTGTGCCTTGTAATAGTTAAAAGCTGTGTTACATGCATTGTTAATGTTAACACAAAAAATGATTTTGGCTACACTTTAAGTCTGGATTTCCAATTAAAATACTTCCATGATTCTAATGTACAATGTTGTTAAAATAATGTACTTTGTATTTTTATTATTTTCCAAATGTTTAAGCTTCATTTCCAAATAGTAAATGAGTAAGGTGATGCACATATACTTGGTTCGGTTACTGATGAAGATTTGTTATTATTGGCATCTTACTTTGCGGAAGACTCCAGGAGATCAATTGTTTCTGCAGTTTTAAAGTTTTTTGTCAGTAGCTTATTTGTTGTTTGTGTATACATTTACGCAATATAATAATGCATTGGAATACTGTGTGTAGGCCTATATAATAGGGATGAGCGAGATTGTTTTAATTTAATGATCACTAGGCGATTGGTTTGGTCCCGAGAATGTTTAGTTAACTTATAACTTGAAACTTGTCCCGCCTTCCCTTGATCGTGGTCTTTAAATAGAAATGATCCTGGATGTAAGTAACAAAGCTCTCAACCAAAATATACTCATAAATTAAACCCGATTCACCTAAAAAGAAGAGGGGGGGGGGGGCGAGGTTGTTTAAGGTTATTTCAGTTCAAAGAGATCTACAATAAGTTAGTAGTTTTTACATTATTTTAATCAAGTTATAAGATCTGTGTCGTCATGCTACTCTTTACAATATCATTGGCCAAGCTGGGCCAACTCACGCCTCGGTGGACAGTTGCCACTGCTTAGTTGTTTTTCAATTGATTTGCATTTTCTATCAGTAGTTATTGTCTAAAATTGTGCGCTCGAAAGGGGTTTTACAGTATTTTTTTTTTTACAAGAACGAACTCTCAAAAGTAATATAAACTGTTGAAAGAGGTTTTAAGTTAAAGTGGTAGATAGAAAGGTTACATCTCAATGTGTTAAATCAAGCACCATATTAGTTAGTTTGTTATACAGATAAACCCGAGTTGTTAAATGTTCCTTGGTAGAATTTTTACAAAATCAATTTGTCTTTTAAAAACCCATGGATTAATTTTAAACCAAATGTAATTGTAATCAATGTTTTCTTGAATGCTATATGTGGCCAGCTAAACAGTTCCTCGTGGGTTGAACCACCGATTCTGCCTAACCACCTCCTTCTCGCACAACCCTATTATATAAGCAGATTTCTATATTTGTATCAATGTTCGCTTTCAACAACCTCCTGCATACTGATATCAGTTATTTATGAATTTTTGCAAATCCTAGTTTTTCTGTTAAATTTGTTCCATTTCTCTATTGTCCTTATTATTTGTTTTCCCCCTTGTGCCTATATGATGGTGTGTCTACACAAAATGTTATCATAATTTTTTTTATGTATTAAATATAACAGGCACTTTATATTTGCATGGATATTTTCCGTCTTTACAGTGATTAATGTGTTGTAGTTCATAGTATCAGTTGTATCGACACTCATTGTATTCAAACTGAGGACACAGCAAAATATCTTTTATACAGTTTACCTAATTTACTAATATTTTTGTTAGAAAATAATTATATTTCTAGCTTATACCGTCATTTGAGTATTTATAAGAAGTTTTATACCAGGGTTGTCGGTTAGAACACATTATAATGTGGTGTGTAAACAATGACAGAATTTAAGCAACATTACAATAAATATTGTTTCCGTCTAAAGCAAGAAGCGCTAGCGTTATTTAAATGAGCCCCAACAGCTGTAGTCTTTGGTTTATTTGAAATATAGGCTGCTGTTATAACGATAGTCTGTGCTGTTGTGTACCTATTTTCTTTTTCTTATTGTCACAACCTGAATGGATATATACTGTTAATATCTGCTTTTCTATAAATGTAACATCATTTCAAACACAAAAATAATATTTAATAATTCATTTAATGTGAAATACAATTTTTGCAGAAAGAATTATATTGGAAAGGGATATAGTTTAATTAGCTGGCCGGAGGAAATTTCAGTGGGGGGGGGGGGGAAATATAATAAACATCATGATGCTGGCACTTTTTCTCAGTTTAGTTTGAGAGTGGATTAATGAACAAATCTTTGAGGAAAGATACATTTTTTCACATGCAGGGCTCCCAATCGATCGTGCACAAACTTGGAATAAGCCGGGAATTTCACGGACAAACTTTGATAATAATAGTAGGCTGATTTCAAAACTTAAAAGTGACAGTTGAAGAAATCTGATTCTCGATTCTTTGTGTCTTAAGATTTGCACAATGAAACTATGATCATCTCCGGCAATCTTGGCAAAGAAATCTCACGATGGCGATGACATAGTCGCACAATCGTTATGTGGCTTTTGTGATTACTTGAATATCCGGAGAGGTCTGCTATTCCACTGTGCAATTCCCCCCTCCCGGTCTAAGATATTGACCCTTATCATTTGTCACCACACAATATGCAAATATGACAGTGAAAACCTATGAGCGAATCGTAAATTTAATTTTCAAGTTTTAAGTGCTGACCCTGCATAAATTTCAATTTTTAAGGGAGCTTTAAATCCATATCAATACAGTCAAACCTTACGGCCTGTCAAAGCCAAATGTCAAATTTTACTTCTGTTGTGGGATGGAATTTTCTCAGGATTAAAAATGAAGGTTATTGAGTTGACCTTGTCTAACAAACTAATGGTTGTTAATTATGGTTCTAGTCTCTGTAAATCTCCTGCCAGGTTAGGTTGTCAGTCTAAGGTTGAGATTAATGTTGTCTTCACTAAGTGAAAGAGTATTATTCTTTGGCATTAATTTTTTGTTAACTGTAGATCAATTCGATTTGACATTGAATGCTAGGGCTTAAGTAAATGTAACAATCATATTTATTTTACCATAATATTTCCAGATATATCCTAAGTCAACAGTCATGTTTTACGCAAATTAAAAATTTACTTAGAACATTGGTTTCCTCATTCAAAAAAAATATTAAATACCTGTGAGAATGTATATGATTTAATGTATGAGAAAATCATAATAGAAATCTAATAGATTCTACTGTCTGTATTTTAATTTTGTCAGTTTTTACTTTATCAAGTGTTAATCTATTACTGTACTTTTATCTTAACCATCAGTGTCTCAGTTTGTGATTGGCAAAAGCTTATCTTTGGCTGTATTTTTTAAACAACAAAAAGCAGAATGTATTTCTGTACATTTCTCCTTAAGTTTTTTGTAAACTGAAAAACTGGACAAAATGTCTTCTTGAACAAAATAGCGCTATTCTGATGTCCATTGTTAGTTAGTTTGTTTTTTTTTTTACTTTATTTATTATATAAAAGTAATGAAACTACAAATTTTTAAATCGTGTTAAAATGAAACAAAAATTATACTTAAAATTTATAGTTTACACTAGGTCATCTAGAAACATACTAATTGCATCTTTGTAAACTTTTCTTTGTAATAGTAACTTCCAATTTGTAAACATTTTTTTGTAATAAAACAAAAATTACACTTAAAATTTATAATTTCCGCTGGATCATCTAGAAACATCACTGATTGAATCTTTGTTAACTTCTCCTTGTAATAGTAACTTCCAATTTGTAAACATTTTTGTAAAAAGTGATTGAAAATAAAAATATGGATTATGTTTATCATCAAACTGTCTAAATTCACTCAAATTTAAGAATTAATTGTATGATGTATTTTCATCCATGTTAATCAATTTAGATACTGTATCAACGTTTTTGTCATCTGCCATGTAAATACTTGTACATTTGACTTAGTATGTTCAATTAAACATTGATTATCGAAGATAATAATTTTATTTCAGTCATCCTACTGGTATGTAACTTACACAAGCATAAAGACGTTGATTAAAAGCAAAGGTTTACTCGGGTATTAATTAAATCAGGTACAGTATTGCTTTTACAAGTTTTATTGGTCAACATACTTACTTATATTTGCAATTAATATCCAAATAGGAACTTTTAATGTAGATACAGTACTACTCTTGTGCTGAAGAATTACTTACAAGTTATTTGGTCCTTGTGTAGCTCTCTTCGCTGTTCCCAAAAACTACAAGCTTGTGGCTGCCCCGTTGTTTGAGCTTTACGACAACGCACAAGGTTATGGACCCATCATCTCATCCCTTCCTCAAGCTCTGTGCAGGTAATTCAATGTTTTCAGTCAATGTTCTCTTTGTGTAGAGCAGAGTAATCAATTGTTTTGATGCAGTAGAGTCTCGATTGTCCTACCTTTGATTTTACTACCCTCCTTGTGGACGATTATCATAAAGTGGGTGCTATATCTGTGTGGTAGCCTACAACGTAAAAGGTTGAAGAGTTGTCATGCCCAAAGCCACAGCTTTGGTGCAGTAAATATTAACCAGTCTGTTTACAGAAATGGCAAAAAGGTCCATCACTAGTCCTTTTAAAATAAAACAGATTTCTGTTGCCCAGGCAAAAGGTGATGGTTGTCTAAATGTCTAAAAAAACTGTTAAAACATTAAAAAATGTCAAATTATATCGGATCCAAATTATTCTTAGACAAAATTTCTCCCATAGTAGACCCAAAGCAACAGTAGTTAAAATTTAAAAGGAAATTAAAAGAAGAAAATAAATAGTGGCCTAAGATTGAGCATTTGCCAGCAGAAATTATGCTGTCTTCAACATTATAAACAGAAACTGCATTAGTTATAAGAAATCTAGATTCAATGTACTAATGTTATGTATAAAACAATGAATAACGCATCTTTGACTTGCTTTAAATTCTTCTAGGAAATGTAACCTTACATAAAGAGTCTGTGACATAAATCATTATCCTAATATATAATACGGATTTTTAAAAACGATGTGTCAAAATTAAGTATTTTTTGTAAGTCCTCGGGCTTTGCCCCACAGGCCATCAAAATCCCAATGTATTTGTTATGAATAAAAGATTTTGTTTACTTATCAGACGAATAATTTATATTAATTACAGAGTGAGTTCGTTTTCAGTTTTAATAACTGGAGTGTAGTGATTGATTACATTATCTTTGAGTTGACGGTTGACTCTTTTAAGTAACCTGAAATAATGACTGTTATTTGTTTTGAAATAACGCCTGTAATACTTTGCAATTGCTCGAATTCAAGCAACAGGTGCACTAGTAATTATATGATTGTTGTTCCAGATTTAATTTCATCTACATGTAAAGACTTCTGTGAAAATTGTGAAGACTACTGTGGTTCCAGTTAGCAGTAATCAACTTATCTGTGAAAGTGTTTATTTTTTATTCACTGTTTTTTAATTTTATCTGGTTATTATGATACAGTAAAAGTATTTCTCTTCTTAAGAGTAAAGAATTATTTATATAATTCTTGTATGTAAAAACCAATTCAGTCATTTGTAGTGTGACACATGTATATATAGATTTAGGAATAAGTAGGTAAATATTAAAGACTTTTTTAATGATTGTGTGGTAACAACTCTATTGTAATGTAATTTATTTCCTTTTTCTTGATGTTCTTATAATAATTTATAAGTTAATTTCTATCATTAAATTCAGTTTTCGTATGTATGATTTCAGCCACAATTGTATATTTGAATGATAAATTGAGTATTGTTTGAATGATTTGTTTACTATATTAAAAACATTGTAATAATATTAATAGAAAATGAGCATCCTCTGTACAAAATGTGTATGTTACTTATCTTAGAATTTACAGCAGGGAAAATGACTAAGATTCGTCATTCTATTTGGATATTGTAATTCTGTAATTGTGTATATTATTTGGGGTATTTCAAATTAAAAAGTGACTTAGAACCATATTAATCATTGAATCTATTATTTATGCTTACGTTAGGCTACTTGAAACAAGTGTTAATGCTCTTTTTGGCCTGTCAAAAATAGTACCATACTTAATGTACCTGTGGTGGTGTTGGGAGGGGGGTCGATTGCCTTAAGATGGATAATACAAATCTAATGTTTTTTTATAATATATCAAACATATTCTTGTCTGCACAGTGGTTACAGTGAATCTCAGTTAATCAAAAGGTTCCATCTTGAAAAACTATGTGGGTTTTTTAATAATTTGAACTGGATCCAACAGTCCTTGATCAATGGGCTTTTAATAATCTGTCCCAGGTAGTGAAATGACAGGTCATCTGTAACAAAGCTCCCGTTCATTCTCTGGTTAAAGTACACAGAAGTCTGATCCTATCGCATTGCAATCATGTAGGAATTAAATTTTTTCTGCAGCAAAAAAAGTTGGAGAAGAGGCTTGTATGACATGAAAAAGTTTTTTTTTATGTATTAGCAGTGAATGAATTTAAAAAAAAAAACTGTGCTGAAAAATTTATCAAGAAATTAGATTACTAAATTGTTATGTTTAATTCCACAATAAGGAGCTTGAAACTAAGTTCAATTACTGCGACCTTCTGTGTAAAAAGAATGAACTACACCCAGCTTAAAAGCTTTGATGGACTGCTCAGATTTCTTTCTAATCGATCTGTCACATTATTCCACATACCAAACATAAGAAGTGCTTCATAAGGGCACATCGCAAATAGAGTCTGTACACTACCATTACCTATCGCTATCACTACCCAGCAAGTGTAACTCAGAACTCTGGAGTTCTTATGGATTGGAACCCTGTGAAATCATCATTCTTCGATTTGCTCACACGCTTTTTGACAATACTTTGATTCTTTTAATTCAAATGGCGGCCATACGAAGGTAGGTACTTTAAGCTAAGTATGAATAAAAATGAGTGGCGTGATCTTGTAGTCTTGTTACTAACTAAGGCCAACATGTTCCTTAGACAGGACTGTTAATGCCTATGGCAACTAAAGTCGGGTATTCCTAGGCGCGGAAGTGGATAGCAGAGAGAGGAACGCGGAGAGCGGACTCCACCTGTCTTAGGTAATTTAATGTTACTGTTTTCCTAGAAGCGGAGCGGAACACCATGTTAATCTCTTCCGCGCCTAGGAAAACCCAGCTTTAGGCACCTAAAGTTCAATTTGTGACACGGTTACATCCAAGTCAAGTAGTTGGATGTAACGGTACCAGTCTATTCTAAAGTCTTTTTTGGTGTAAGCTTCCCTATTTTCATATTTATTTTTATCGTTTTATTTATCCCAACGCTGTAAATAAAACATGTAATTGGAATTCCTTCCTTTTGTTTAGTTTTTTTTTTCGTGGTCACCAGCATAACAACCTACAAGGCCCATGTTAATTTTTTATGCAAATTCAAATTCATTTTTTGTGCTTATTTTTTACTCAACACGAGCTGAGAAAAAAAGGTTTTAAAGAAAAATGCTTGTCTATTTGTAGACAATGGTCAAAAACTTGACAAAAGGTATGTAATGTAATAGACTTCTCTATTTTCACTACAAGCTAGAAATAAAAAAAAATATGATTGGAATTTCTTCAATTTGTTTTGATTTTCTGTTTATATTTCGTCACCAGAAAGGTAACCCAAGGCCAATGTAATTTTTTCAAATTTATAATTAATTTTATGTGCTTATTTTTTAGCCTATTTTATTTTTTTAAAGGGATTCTGCACATATACATGAAAATATATCTCTAAACAGTATGCTTGGATTTCTGATTTTCCCTGCGATGCACACGAGCTGAGAAAAAAGGTTTTAAAGAAACATGGCTGACTATTAATTTGTCTGGGTCGCCGGAATGGTCGCCCCCGGAAACATCACCCCCCCAGGCTAAACGTGACGTCACGAAACCAGACAACCAGCTGGTATAAAATCTATGTCCGCGACCGGAATCGTTCCCCCCAAGGGCTTGACAAGTAATTTATCAAAATCTAGTTGATATGAACTAATTATGTTATTAATTTTAATTCAAACAAGTAGAAACGGAAAGGTCTTCCCCGGCAAGGCATCCCCTATGTACACCCCGGAATCGTCCCCCCCTGAAACGCTACCCCTAGTAGGGCTGGGCTGCTCGGCAGCCTACCTGCTGCCCGTCCTCCTCAGTCCATTGTTCTGAGGGTCGGCCGCTCGTTCATTATTATTGTCACTTGGACAACAGCTTTTCCACAGAAGAAAATTGCAGACGCTGTGGTGGAATATCAATCAGTAGATTTAGATGTGTATGAACTTCTAAGACAACTAAATAATGCGAGCAAAGATTGACTTTAAAAAATCATTCTTTTATTCTTTTATACTTAATTCATAACCAACGATAATGCGTAAAGTATACATTTTTTCTGTTGCATTAAATGGTAGTTATACTTATCAACATCAGTAAACTTACTTTACACCCTATGGTAATTGTTAAGCAACACATTTGTTAAAAAGAGAATAATTTCTAAATGTATTAAAAATGAATCGCATTGCTTCAGGTTTGGCCCCGATTTAATTAATAATTTGAAAATTAGAAACTGATTATTAAATAAGAATAAACATAATAATATCTTTTAGGGGATTAATCCCTTAAACTTATCGAAATAATTAATTGTTAGTAATTACAAATATGTAAATGATACTATTCTAAAGGTTATGCCAAAAAGTACCTTAATTCAGAAACAGCCTAGGCTAGTTTCATAAATCATAAATCATAAATCTTTATTGGTCATTAAATAACATATGTTACAATAGACCTCGTTAACAAAAAAAAAGGTCATAGATTCTAGATAGTATAACATGGTCTATAACATGGAATCTTCACTAAACTTAAATATAACAAAGACAACAAGAAAATAAAAGCTAAAATCATTTGAAAAACACAGAACTATATATATGAAACAAAAGTGAGGTACTTAAACAAGTGTTTGAAAGACTAGGTAACAGTTGACTAGGGACTAAGTAAGAACTAGATAACAATTTTACCATTACAATTGTATTCTGCAAAAAATTCATCTAAACTGTAAAAAGGGTGGTCAGCAAGCCAAACCATCAACCTTTGTTTCAGCCGAGTACAAGGAATGTCAAGCATTTCACTTGCAAAACAATTCACTATCTTCACTGATATACTAGCAAAACTTTGCTGTACTGTTGTTAGTCTGGTGTAGGGCCTATCCAAAGCAGATCTTCCCCTTGTGTAATATGAGTGAAAATTATTTCTTGAGCTAAAGAAATGTGAATTTTGTTTTACAAAAATAACACACTCTAATATATACAAATTTACAGTTGTCAGGATACCTGTTGCTTTAAAAAGAGGTTTACAATGGTCCCTCAACCCTGAATTGGTCAACAGTCTTACAGCCTTTTTTTGAAGCTTTAAAATTATTAGAATGTGGGTGGAGTTACCCCACAGTAACAGACCATACTTTAACAGACTTTGAAAAAAAGCAAAATACGCAGATCTAACATACAAAGGAGGAACAAAATCTCTTAGACGTCTAATTAAAAATAAAACTCTTGACAATTTCTTACTTAAGTTATATAAATGGGTTGACCAGCTTAAATCACTATCCAAATCTATGCCTAATAAATTTACACTTGATGAAAAATTCTTTTCTTCCTCAGGTGTGCGACCTAACCTAAAAACAATAGTTTGAGTCTTTTCAGGATTCATAAAAAACCCATTGACACTGAACCAGTTCCTAGCTTCATTGAGGGAAAGTTTGGACAGCACCATGAGTTCACCAAAGGTACCTTGACTATTTAAGAAAGTGGAGTCATCCGCATAAATCACAGAAGTACAGGACATACATTTATCCAAATCATTAATCATTATAAGGAAAAGAACAGGGCCTAACACCGAGCCCTGGGGCACTCCGCAAAAAACCTCACTCTCATCTGACAATATACCCGCAACATCAACCTGCTGCCTGCGGTCTGATAAGTAAGACTTAAAAAGATTGAGTTCTGTGCCACGGATACCGTAGTACTCAAGTTTATTCAAAAGTAAACCATGGGGAACACAATCAAACGCTTTACTCAGGTCAACTAGAGTTGCCTGGGTAAGAGAGGCGTTTTCATAAGAATTTAGCACATGCTGCACCAAGCGCCTTACCGCATCCGTGGCACATCTACCCGTTCGAAACCCAAATTGCCAATCAGATATTAGGCCATGGTATTCAAAAAATTGCATTAATTGTGATTTTATTATGGTTTCGAACACTTTGCCAATCACAGGAACTAACGAAATGGGCCGGTAACTACTAGGATTCTCCCTCGGACCCTTTTTATAAATTGGAACAACTTTTGAAAACTTCAGTTTTTTGGGGAAAAAGCCAGAGAGCAAGCAGCAGTTAATACTTGCAGTGAGTGGCAACAATATATACACTATAATAAGCTTTAGAAGGTTAGAGGACATACCATATGCATCTGTGCTGAAAGACGATTTCATATTATGCACAACACTATATACTTCCTCACAAGACACTGCACTGAACTTGAAGGATGATGGAGAAGCTGGTGTATTCTCTAGTAGTGTAGTGGAAGCAGCAATCGAAGGTGTCACCAGTGCCGCTGTCTGTTCCACAGATGACGCGAAGAAATCACTGAAGTCTTGTGGAGA